TCCTTGTTTCGTTCCTGCTCTTAGAGGAGATGCTTTCAGCTTTTCACCATTGAGAATGATGTTTGCTGTGGGCTTGTCATATATGGCCTTTATTATGTTGAGGTGGGTTCCCTCTATGCCCACTTTCTGGAGAGTTTTTATCATAACTGGGTGTTGATTTTTGTCAAAAGCTTTTTCTACATCTATTGAGATGATCATATGGTTTTTATTCTTCAATTTGTTAATATGATGTATCACACTGATTGATTTGCAAATATTGAAGAATCCTTGCATCCCTGGTATAAATCGCACTTGATCATGGTGTATGATCCTTTTAATGTGTTGTTGGATTCTGTTTGCTAGTATTTTGTTGAGGATTTTTTTATCTATATCATCAGTCATATTGGTCTGTAATTTTCTTTTTTTCTGTTGTCTTTCTCTGGTGTTGGTATCAGGGTGATGGTCGCCTCTTAGAATGAGTTTGGGAGTGTTCTTTCCACTGCAATTTTCTGGAAGAGTTTGAGAAGGATGGGTGTTAGCTCTTCTCTAAATATTTGATAGAATTCACCTGTGAAGCCATCTGGTCCTGGACTTCTGTTTGTTGGAAGATTTTTAATCACAGTCTCAATTTCACTACTTGTGATTCGTCTGTTCATATTTTCTGTTTCTTCCAGGTTCAGTCTTGGAAGGTTATACCTTTCTAATAATTTCTTCCAGGCTGTCCATTTATTGGCATAGAGTTGCTTGTAAGTAATCTCTTAGGATGCTTTGTATTTCTGCGGTGTCTGTTATAACTTCTCCTTTTTCATTTCTAATTTTATTGATTTGAGTCCTCTCCCTCTTTTTCTTGATGAGTCTGGCTAATGGCTTATCAATTTTGTTTATCTTCTCAAAGAACCAGGTTTTAGTTTTATTGATCTTTGCTATTGTTTTCTTTGTTTCTACTTCATTTATTTCTGCTCTGATCTTTATGATTTCTTTCCTTCTGCTAACTTTGAGTTTTGTTTGTTCTTCTTTCTCTAGTTCCTTTAGGTGTAAGGTTAGACTGTTTACTTGAGATTTTTCTTGTTTCTTGAGGTAGGCTTGTATAGCTATAAACTTACCTCTTAGAACTGCTTTTGCTGCATCCCATAGGTTTTGGATCGCCATGTTTTCATTGACATTTCTCTCTAGGTATTTTTTGATTTCCTCTTTGATTTCTTCAGTGATCTCTTGGTTACTTAGTAATGTATTGTTTAGCCTCCATGTATTTGTGTTTTTTACGTTTTTTTCCCTTGTAATTCATTTCTAATCTCATAGCGTTGTGGTCAGAAAAGATACTTGATATGATTTCAGTTTTCTTAAATTTACTGAGGCTTGATGTGTGACACAAGATGTGATCTACCCTGTAGAATGTTCCGTGTGCCCTTGAGAAGAAAGTGTAATCTGCTGTTTTTGGATGGAACGTCCAATAAATATCAATTAAATCTATCTGGTCTGTTCTGTCATTTAAAGCTTCTGTTTCCTTATTTATTTTCATTTTGGATGATCTGTCCATTGGTGTAAGTGAGGTGTTAAAGTCCCCCACTATTATTGCATTACTGTCGATTTCCTCTTTTACAGCTGTTAGCAGTTGCCTTATGTATTGAGGCTCTCCTATGTTGTGCACATACATATTTATACTTGTTATATCTTCTTCTTGGATTGATCCCTTGATCATTATGTAGTGTCCTTCCTTGTCTCTTGTAACATTCTTTATTTTAAAGTCTATTTTATCTGTTATGAGTATTGCTACTCCAGCTTTCTTTCGATTTCCATTTGCACGGAATATCTTTTTCCATCCCCTCACTTTCAGTCTCTATGTGTCCCTAGGTCTGAAGTGGGTCTCTTGTAGACAGCATATATATGGGTCATGTTTTTGTATCCATTCAGCAAGCATATGTCTTTTGGTTGGAGCATTTAATCCATTCACGTTTAAGGTAATTACGGATATGTATGTTCCTATGACCATTTTCTTAATTGTTTTGGGTTTGTTCTTATAGATTAAGGTAATTATCGATATGTATGTTCCTATTACCATTTTCTTAATTGTTTTGGGTTTGCTTTTGCAGGTTCTTTTCTTCTCTTGTGTTTCCTGCCTAAAGAAGTTCCTTTTGCATTTGTTGTAGAGCTGGTTTGGTGGTGCTGAATTCTCATAGCTTTTGCTTGTCTGTAAAGCTTCTGACTTCTCCATCGAATCTGAATGAGATCCTTGTCAGGTAGAGTAATCTTGGTTGTAGTTTCTTCCCTTTCATCACTTTAAGTATGTCATTCCACTCCCTTCTGGCTTGTAGAGTTTCTGCTGAGAAATCAGCTGTTAACCTTATGGGAGTTCCCTTGTATGTTGTCATTTTTCCCTTGCTGTTTTCAATAATTTTTCTTTGTCTTTAATTTTTGTCAATTTGATTACTGTGTGTCTCAGCATGTTTCTCCTTGGGTTTATCCTGTATGGGACTCGCTGTGCTTCCTGGACTTGGGCGGCTATTTCCTTTCCCGTGTTAGGGAAGTTTTCAACTATAATCTCTTCAAATATTTTCTTGGGTCCTTTCTCTCTTCTCCTTCTTGGACCCTTATAATGTGAATGTTGTTGCATTTAATGTTGTCCCAGTGGTCTCTTAGGCTGTCTTCATTCCTCTTCATTCTTTTTTCTTTATTCTGTTCTGTAGCAGTGAATTCCACCTTTCTGTCTTCCAGGTCACTTCTCCATTCTTCTGCCCCAGTTATTCTGCTATTGATTCCTTCTACTGTAGTTTTCATTTCAGTTATTGTATTGTTCATCTCTGTTTGTTTGTTCTTTAATTCTTCTAGGTCTTTGTTAAACATTTATTGCATCTTCTCAACCTTTGCCTCCATTCTTTTTCTGAGGTCCTGGATCATCTTCACTATCATTATTCTGAATTCTTTTTCTGGAAGGTTGCCTATCTCCACTCCATTTAGTTGTTTTTCTGGGGTTTTATCTTGTTCCTTCATCTGGTACATAGCCTTCTGCCTTTTCATCTTGTGTATCTTACTGTGAATGTGGTCTTTGTTCCACAGGCTACAGGATTATAGTTCTTCTTGCTTCTGGTCTCTGCCCTCTGGTGGATGAGGCTATCTAAGAGGCTTGATGGGAGGGACTGGTGGTGGGTGGAGCTGTTGCTCTGGTGGGCAGAGCTCAGTAAAACTTTAATCTGCTTGACTGCTGATGGGTGGGGCTTGGTTCCCTCCCCGTTGGTTGCTTGGCCTGAGGCCACCCAACACTGGAGTCTACCGGGGCTCTTTGATGGGGCTCATGACAGATTCTGGGAGGGTGCGTGCCAAGCAGTACTTTCGAGAACTTCTGCTGTCAGTGTCCTTGTCCCCACGTTGAGCCACAGCCACCTCTCCACCTCTGCAGGAGATCCTCCAACACTACCTGGTAGGTCTGGTTCAGTCTCCCCTGGGGTCACTGCTCCTTCCCCTGGGTCCCGATGTGCACACTACTTTGTGTGTGCCCTCCAAGAGCGGAGTCTCTGTTTCCCCCAGTCCTGTCGAAGTCCTGCAATCAATTCCCACTAGGCTTCAAAGTCTGATTCTCTAGGAATTCTTCCTCCTGTTGCCAGACCCCCAGGTTGGGAAGCCTGACGTGGGGCTCAGAACCTTCACTCCATTGGGTGGACTTCTGTGGTATAAGTGTTCTCCAATCTGTGAGTCACCCAGCCAGCAATTATGGGATTTGATTTTACTGTGATTTTACCCCTCCTACTGTCTCATTGTGGCTTCTCCTTTGTCTTTGGATGTGGGGTATCTTTTTTGGTGAGCTCCAGTGTCTTCCTGTCAATGATTGTCCAGTAGCTAGTTGGACACTCCTGTTTGTATTGACTCATTAGACTCAAAGGATACCAAAATTCTAGCCCAGTGGCCCTCCTAGCATTTTGTTGTCTTGCAGAAACACGAGGGGAGCAAAATGTTTCATTCACATGCAGTGCGCTTCTACATTCTACACCTGAAAGACGTAATTTTCAGACTGTAGTCAGCTGTGTGTTCATTTGCATATTTGGTGTCAAAGACTCGTTCTGATTACAATATGTTCCTTATAAAAATTCATTTAGTTAAAATTCCTGGACCCCCTGGTCATTCTCTGGCTTACCACCTTGTTTATTTCCTTCATGGCACTTGTGATGGCTTTTGTGATGTTCTGTTTTTTTAAATTTCTTCTTGTTTGCTCCTCCCATTAATACTGTAAATTCTGAGTGATCACATATTTTACTCAGTGTTCAGCACAGTGTCTAAAACAGGAGGTGCGTAATCGATATGTTTCGAATGAATATATCCAAAGTTGAGCCATCTGTCTGACCAGCTTTCTCTGAGATACTAAATGTAACGATCCAGCATGTCTGCAGATTTATAATCATCTTATGGAACGAGGTGTGTTGAAATGGCAGCAAACACTGGTTCTGAGCTTTAAGATATACCAGGTACTGTTCAAAGTACTTCACAAGTAGTAGTATTCCCATTTTACAGATGAGAAAACTGATTTGAACCTACCCTGGCTCCAGGGTCCCGCCACTCAACTACTACGTGTACGGGTTACTGAAATGAAAGCTGTCACTCACTTTTTCAGGTTATAAAAAGCAGGGTTCAGTACATAATACAATAGAATACTTTTCAGCCATAAAAAGGAATGAAGTACTGATTCATGCCACAACTTGGATAGACCATGAAAACATTATGCTAAGTGAAAGAAGCCAGACTTAAAAGGTCATATATTATTGTGTGATTCCATTTATATTAAATATCCAGAATAGGGAAATTCTTAGAGACAGAGCAGATTAGTGGTTGCCAGGGGTTAGAGGGAGAATGAGGGATAACTCTCAATGGGATTCAAGGTTTCTTTTTGGGGTGATGAACATATTTGGGAACTTGGTCGCACAACATTGAGTGTACTAATAGTTACTGATTATTCACTTTGAAACGGTTAATTTTATGTTATGTGAATTTCATCTTTATTTGAAAAAAAACAGGATTTAATGCTTGGCACTCACCAACTTTCACTGTTCCACCTTGAGGCTTTTCCACAAACAGGGTGGACAGCTGACTGTTGGCAGTCTGCTTATCCTGCTCCTCCCCTGATGGTGATTCACCAACAGACCATTCTAATGAGCAGAAAGGAGGAAAAGGATCATTTCAGGGCCAGGTTCTTCTTGGGCAGACTTACCTGGGTTTGTTGTTCTTGTCAATGCTGAAGCTTCTCTTTGTCTAATTAACCTGGATAAATATAACATCTTTCTTTCTATCCACCTCCCCGACAGCCATCAGTAGAGAGTGACAGATTCCCATTCTTACAGGGATATCTCTTCCACGATGGGATCAAGGAACATTTTCTAATTCCTAGAAATAGCAAAACTTTTCAGGAAGGTTGTTACTCTTTCCTGGCAGCCAAGTTTCCTTTGTTTCCCAATCCTGCCTGTCCCCTGATAAACAATGGTGGGCAGGCTATGAAAGCAGTACTCTCATTGTTTTTCCAGGTGACTGGCTATAACATCATGTCTATACAACACCTGAGTTGGAAAAGACTAAAGGGATGGATCAGTTTGCAGCTCAAGTGGGAAAGGTCAGACAAACAAGCCTGGCCTTGAATTTCTAGATGCCTCGCTGTTGTATGACTAGATAATTCTATTAGGGTTGTATAGATGTGGCCACAGTTTGACAAGTAACAGATCATGACCTGCAGGCATAGATTTCAAGAATTCTAGGAGCGTCTTGAAAGGGAAGAAGAAAACTAGAAAAACAGAAAGAAAAATAAACTCTTTGAGGCTTTCCCGTGAAGACAGACAAGCTGGAAATGAAGTTTATTTTGCATTTTCTAGTTTTCACTCCAGGTGCTTAGAAGGTAGTAATCAGCAGTCAACTCGAATGAAGAGGGTAGGAGAGAAAACGGTAGAAAGTTCCCCTGTCTCTGAGAACTGAATGAAGAGAAGTTCCGTTTTAGCCACTTAATAACTGGAAAAAAATTGCGTGGGCTGCCAACTCTCAACCTGTTAATGTTTCTTGAAAAGGAGGAAATGTAGATTTAGTTATTTTAGTTCCCATGTATCAATCATGCTTAGTATTTCTATTCATAGGCCATCATTTTCACAATGAAGTTAGGCAATGTAGTCACATGATTACACAATTTAAAAAAATACCCAAATTGATATTAAAATTTTATGTTGTGTGTAATTGTAATATTCATAGTAATAGCAAATAGTGGCCATTAATGTTTGGAACAAGAGGACAAGGATTTTTTTTGTTTTGTTCATTTCTATATCTGTGTCTGCAAAAGTGCCTGGCCCATAAGACTCCCATAGCAGGATAATAGTAGGCCCTCAAACAAATTTGTTGAATGAATAAATGAACAAATAAATAAATAACCATCCAGAATTGTGGCTCCATGCAGAATTTGGAGGTGTTCTTTCAACTGTATGTAAATTTCCATAAAAATATGAATTATTATCTAATGTTGATACATCCCAGGAATGGCAATTTTAAAAGTCTCTTCATCTCTGTGTATTTGCCAAACGTTAAAAATGATAGTGATGATGAAACAAGTGAACCTGTGGTATACGTGGCTAGATTCCTGAATTTGTGTGTGTGTGTGTGTGTATGTGTGTCATGCAAAATTAATTGTTTCTCAATGCAGTAGTTTTCTAGTCAGAGGAATGTAATAAGAGATTGCTATAAAAGCTACAAACTGAATAAAACCAAGATCAGAATCAAATACAGCTTCAAGAAATGAGGTCATTAGTGATTACTATATTGGGATGGGGTCGGGACGCCTTGCTTCTGGCGTGTGCTCACCTGAATCTTTTCTTTCCAGGGCCCGACTACCCGAACCTGAAAGGAAAGCATGATTTGGATGATACAAGGGGTAGGGGGAGAAAATGGAGTGCTGACTTCAATCTTCTCGGATCCCCCAAGTCCTGTCTCTCTTCATGATGGGGAGGAAAAAAGCTAGAAGTTTGCTTGGATGGAAAATCGGTAGGGCTTTAATTCTGAAAACGTCTATAAAAAGTATGTGTTTTATTTAAAAAACAATAATAAAATTTTTAAAAATCCAAATATCTAAAGAACAGGGGAAAAGGGTATATAGCTGGAAATGAAAGACATTTTTGCCCCTATATTTTATACCCAAGAGTTACTACTTTTATTTATTTCACAAAGAACCTAGGGGCAGGACAGGAATAAAGACACAAAGAAAGCCTCTTTTTAAAAAGTTTCTCATGTTAAAAAAAAGAAATTCCCATTAAAGCCAACATTTTCCCTCTTTGGCACTGGCAAGATCTGAGTCCCCTGCTCTGAGCGTTGTCTCATCAAGGTGCCCTGTTGGTTCATTATCTTTACTGTCAATTAGTAATAAATTACAAAGTGGGGAAAGGGGTTGGAATCATCCTAACCTGGAGGCAGGGCACTAGGCGGGGAGGCTTCCTCTTCATCTGAAATAAGAAAGAGGAATAAAAAGTTAAGGAGAAAAGAACTTCATCCCGAGTATCTGAGAAAAGAGAAATCTGCAAAACAAGAAGAGAAACTACACAAAGCACTTAACTGATGACTAAGCCTTAGAAGACTTTCCACCTGAAAGATTAGACTTCAGTATTTAAGGCAAAAGAGAAAAATAAACAAATAAAAGGGTGAGAGAGTTGGGTAATCCCAATGAAAGTAGCTTTAAAAATGGTACTCTATGCAAACGTTTTATATAATTGTAAGCTAGGAAAAAAATTAATGCTAAAAATCTAACCCTGATGACATCAACAAGAGAGGTGGTTTTCGAGTCCTTATTTTGTAGCCAAAGTCACTGACAGCATAATTCATATACCACATTCATTTGGACACAGACATAAAAGCGTATGTTTTTATGTAATTTGAAAACTCAATACCCCCAGAAAACCTTATAATTAATTCCCCTTCTATACTTAGGTAACAAAAGTCAACATTAACTAGTATAAATAAATTTGTCATACTTACTAAGTTCACCAATAATTATTATAGGGACTTTGTCTGTTTTTTCCCAAGATTATATTGGTGTTGGCCAATATAATTTGAAAAACATTTACCAATTTGTAAAATATTTACAAATATTTTATATATGTGTAAAATATTTACCCATTTGTAAAATTCAAAATATGCCTTGTAGTGTTTGTGCAAAGACACTGAATATTCCCTTTTCTAAAATGCCTAAATTTCAAAGTGTCTTACATTTTAGATGCTTAAATAGATATTTGGTGTTATCTGAACCTCTGCCTCTTCCCTCCCAAAGCATGAAGACTAGTGTTAGTGTAAATAATAATAATCTCTGTATTTAAAATATTAGAATAATTATGGGTTTCAAAATGTGAACTTAAATGACTATATAAAATAGGATACAGAAAACAAATGCACATGACTGTTAATTAAAAAGTGCTTTAAAAATTTCTGACAAGAGGTAAAAGAGCACAGGCATAACCTATTAGTATATTTACAACATATATCATTTACTAGTCTGAAATTTCTTAAACTGTCAACCAGAGATATGTTTTGTTACTTTTTAACAAAATAACTAATGTAATATATAGAAAACCTTAATGTCATATCTTCAGAACCCAAGAGGTGATTCACTGGATACTGTGGGATTCGGGATTCTTCAGAGGAAGCTTTCTGTGGTCAAAGAAGCTTGCAAAACGCTAGGCTAAATAAAGTTAAATGCTTGTGTTTTATTGTACTGTTTGTGTGCTTTTACTGAAGCATATCTCAAAGCCCTCAGTGTGCTCATGTGTGTTGGCACTGGGGATGGAGATAAGAAATGATACACTATTAACATTCCCCAAACTTAGTTCACATTTGAATCCTTTTCTCCTGGAATGTCCATTAACTTTCCACAAAATCTTGCATTTGGGGAACTATAGGTATTTCTGAGCTCTTAGGGGAATTCTGTATTTCAGAAGAGACTGCTAAACAATTAAAATTTTACATAACCAAAACTAAAATACCTTGCAATTTTTGTACTTTATTTGCCGTACATTTAACTCAGTATGTAGTATTTTATTCTTGACACCTATTTGAAGGCTTTTATTTACTAAAATATGTAAAGCATCTTGATCTAAAGTCCTGTAAAAATTCTTGAAAATGAAGTTTTAATACTCAACCACATCCGAGAAAGGAGCTTCCTTTGTTATATATAAACTAGAACCATTTTTAGTCAGATGAACACTTCATTTTATACAGGTTTGGTGGTTGTTTGTTTGCTTTGTGCACAGTGCCTAATAAACCCTTGAGTTAATTGTTTAGAATGCAAAATGATTGGGAAAAGAGTGCTCACACACGTTCATAAAACTGAAATGAAAAGAGAAGCCATTTTTTAAGCAAAAATTTGATGGGTGAGTAGTTTCAAAGTCCACTAAATGTTAAGACTATGTGGGGGACATACACAACTATTTTAGACTATTAAGACAACACATATGAAAGCAGTGCTTCAAAGTATCATGAAAGATACTCTAGATGATCCAACATTATTTCCAAACAGTAATTACTTCTCAGTGGGCAATATTTGAGTCATTGTACATGCATTTTCAAATTTACTGAAGTGCCAGAAACATACAGTTGACGAGGGGCAACATTTATTGTTTCCCTTCTTTTAAATGTAGTTTTGGGATTCTGGGCTTTCACTGCAGTGGCCTGGGTTCAATCCCTGATCCGGGAACTGAGATCCTGCAAGCCGCACAGTACGCCCAAAATAAATAAATAAATACAAATTTTAAAAATAAATAAAACAAAATGTTGATATTTAAATAAATACATAAATAAAAGTAGTTTTGGTCCTGGCATCCCCTTAGATTGGGAAATATGGCTAAGATGTTGGGATTCTGACCCCAAATACTTGAAAAGTTGCCTGGTTGAATTTGGTTGAGTTGGTTAAGAAGAGAGGTTTAATTGTTCTTATTTACCATAGAAAAACGGGTTCTACTGGTAGGAGGGAAACTGAATATCCAAATCTTCTGGGTTATGCCTGATCCAACATCACATATATGAAAGACATGGCATCATACAAAGAACATTTTCAAACAAAAAATAAAATATATGTCATATTTTCTTGTTTTCTATTTAAAAGTGACTACAGTGATGATGAAAACTTAAGCATCTGTTTTTGGCTCTTTAGAATACGGCCTACATGACACCACGGACCGAAAGCGACAGACCTATCTTCCCTAGCTATGTAGAAGGGAAATCTACCAAAATGTGTCTTTAAGTCATGGGAAAATAGCATTTATAAAACCATAAAAATGATTCTTTCAACACAGAAGTTCCCAATGAAGAACACTGGAAAGTAGTTTATAAAACCATAAAAATGATTCTTTCAACACAGAAGTTCCCAATGAAGAACACCTGGAAAGTAGGGAAAGAACTTGGCCTCATATTACAAGCCTGGAATTTTTCGGGGGGTCCACAGAAGGAAATCTGGAATGTGAGGGAGAGAATGCCAGAGACAGTGGAACGTGTACATTCCTATAAATCTCCAAGCTCTCTTGGGCATAAAATAACTTCTACCTATGGCTGACTTAAATCCCCTTTTTAAATCAATTTTTAAAGTATACGTACTTGCGACAATTGTTGAGATTTTAGAATAAAAGCATATAAGATTAAAATGTACTGTAAACAAACCTCAGTTAAATACTGATACAATACCTTGTTTGATGTAGACAAATTTATGAATTCCTCAAGCAGAGTAATCAGTTGTAGTAAATATTGGCATATGTTACCAAAATAATAACAGCAACAAAAACAACCACATATAGAAGGCAATAACAAAAACAGCTAACATTAATTCATCATGTTGTGAGGCATTTGATTAATTTATCATATTTTCTGAATGAGAAGACACATGTCTCCATGCTTTGGTGCTTCTGAAATCAGGATTCATCTTACCATAAATACGTTTATTTAATGAGTTTTTTTCTCCCCCAAATCTATTAAATCAATGTTGTATTTTATAATCGTTGTGTTTTAAAATTGTTAAGTACAGTGATATTAATTTTTAACAAAGTTCATTACAAAGAAATCATGTAGTTGGAATACACAGGTAAAGCAGAGACATTTTAGTAGATGGCTGATTGTCTGATACCTAAAGGTAAAATGGCACAAAAATATTTTAGCATGCTAGTAAGGAGCACCAAGATAAAGATATTGCAGATGTAAAGGGACCTAAATGAAGAAAAAAATTCATCATTCTTTTAATTAAAAAAAATCATAGCATGCAGGAGAAGTTCGCTGGAACTTCTGCTGATTCACTTCCTCATCTGACAACCACATTCATGCCAAAAGAATCTTCATCTCAAATTATGAGATCGTTAATACACACAGGGTTCATTCATGATAGTCTGTGGCAATGTTAGTGATGATGCCTGGGAAAAGAAAGTAAGTTTTTACTTCCATTGCAACAATTACCAAGGGCAGTAATTTTTCTGGAAGGAAAATAAAAAGAGGCAGTAACTATCCCAATTGGGCTTACCCAAAAATATACCGACTATAAACTGATAAGTTACAAAATTAAAAATCAAAAATTGGGACTTCCCTGGTGGCACAGTGGTGAAGAATCCGCCTGCCAGTGCAGGGGACACGGGTTCGAGCCCTGGTCCCGGAAGATCCACATGCCATGGAGCAACTAAGCCCGTGCACCACAACTACAGAGCCTGCGCTCTAGAGCCCGCCAAGCCACAACTACTGAGCCTGCGCGCCTAGAGCCGGTGCTCCACAACAAGAGAAGCCCCCGCTTGCCGCAACTAGAGAAAGCCCACACGCAGCAACAAAGACACAACGTGACCAAAAATTTAAAAATTAATTAATTAAAAAAAAAGTCATCTTTAAAAATAAGTAAAATAAAATAAAAATCAAAATTTATGTATCAGAATTTAGGCATTAAAATGAGCACTGATCTTCAAAGTATTCTCTGATTCTAATGCCGCTAGTACACATGGAACCACTAGTAGGACCAGTTTTGAAACATTCCACAGGGCTAATTGTTAAGGCATAGAAATGACTCAGTCTCATTATCCTATGTTCACACATATGGTGTTGGTTGATCAAAAAAAAGGTATGATCCCATTTGAGCACCCACATTATCCTCCACCCATGGCCCTCCATGACAATTGTCTGCTTCCAAAGCTGAAATGCACTGTCCTCTGCTGATGGTTGTTCTCCACTCTAAAGTTCCCTAAAGTTGGCTCTCGGAGGGCAGGACCCAGCACCCAGACCTGCCCCTGGCATTTAGCCAACACTCAGTGAATACTTGAGATGAATAAATGAACATTAGAATAGAAGGCAGATCTTTGGCTCCATTGAGGGTATAGAAAATTCTCTATACTTAGCTTTCCATTGAATTGCTACCTGTGATTATTCTGGAAGAATCCTAAGCCACAGCAGCATTATTTTTTCAAGGACATTATCTCTCAGTATGATCACTCTGAAAGGGATTTGCATATCTAAATTCTCATGTTGCTCTTTATTGTCATCTCTATCATTTCAACTCCAAGACAAAGTGGGCAGTATTAGAGAACAGGATACCTGGATGGACAAGTCCAGAGGCAAACAAGCAAATAAACAAATAATAAACCGCTTCCTGAGAAATCAGCTGTTTATCAGAAACTCTCAGTAAATGAAAAAGTTGGCAAATCTAATCACAAACACTACTTGTAAGATTGATATCAGAACCAAACAACATTCTGTGGCTACAAAAAAATTTTCAGAACATTTCCAGCCTGTCACAGAATGATTCAGTCAATCTGGGAAAGATATTAAGGCTGCATGGCTATGAATGATGTTCTTAAAAGTGAGAGTCTTGGAGCTATTAATTGAATATATGTCAACTAATTAGATAGGGCACTAACTAAAGTGCTGAAAATGTTGTATCCAGCTGTGACCATTTTCAATAGCATTAAGTGAGCTGATCTTACAATATACAGCACTGGCATCCCATTCCAAACCTTATTGACTAAGAGTATGCATGGGATGTTCACCCTCCTGCTCAGCAAATGGAAATGAAAATCTATCTAGATTACCATTGTCTGTATGATGAGCAGCTAAGCCAGCATGGAAATTCAATTGATCATTCATTCTACAGGTATTTATTAGGAGATCACCATATGCAGCTCTCTGCCAGCTGCTGGAAGAAATGAGATAAGGAGCCCAAAGAGTGTTAAGACAGAGTGCCTGACCCTCACAAAGCTTATAACATGTCAGGAAAAGGAGTGAAACATTAATACGGGATTAAGTGAAGGAAAGGGTGATTTAATGACAGAAGCAATCAGTCCAAGAAAAAGCAGGAGGAAGAAAGGGAAGTGAAAGTGCGTTAGGATGGTCAGGGGAAAGATGCACAAAGGAGTGACACTTGACTTGAATGGTTCTATAAATTTCTTTTTTCTTTCTTTCTTCTTCTTTTTTTTTTTAATACATTAATTTTCTTTCAAAAAAACACACAATTAGATAGACTGAGAGTTGGGGGAGGGTGGAGGACAGGGATTCTAGTGTAAGCTGGAGAGCAGCTCTGTTGCACCTGTCAATCTTGTTTATGCTAATGCAAGAATTCTTTCTCAACCAGGGCTATTCATAATAGCAATGATTACTGTGCCTACTTTTCACTTGGGTATTTTCTTTGAAACTTCCCTGTCCTTGATGAAAGTAAGTAATGGTTGAAGGGGATTGTATATTTAGAAATAACTTCCACCACCTACCTTCTTTATTTAGGGATGTCACTTTCTATCCTAAATTAATTTGCTTTCTAGGCATGTAGAGCAAATACATACGTGGCAGTTTATGTACCTGGGCACATGACTGCATGTGTCCATGACCTTGTTTAACTTCTGCAAATGTCAGGAAAAAAATGCTACTAATTTCAGGATGACTTTCTTGGTCATCTGACCTTGCTCTTTCATCATATCGTGTTCTGTGTGAGGAAAAGGGTTTTTGTTGATTGGTAGACTGGTTGGTTGGTTGGTTGGTTGATTTTAACTTACAGAAAGCCATTTTCGCATTTAAGCATACAAATATAATATGATTTTCAGATTAAGGGTCAGGCGCAGGCTTTGTTTAAACTTTTGACAGTTTGCCTTCTGGGATTACATCATCTGCTCTGTTGGTTGAGCCTTACAGCCTGGTCCAAACACCTTTCCAAATTTGGAAACAGAGGTGTATGCCATCAGTCTTGTAAAGAAGAATGTTGTAATAACTTCAGCCAGGATGTCCAAACCTCCTTGAACCCATCTCATGGAAGGAGTTCTAGGAGTTTGCACTGTTTGCATTCCATATGCAAATAACCTTCAGACTGTGGCCCATGTGGCCAGGATTAGCATTCATGTTACTATTCACGGAGCCACTGAAGGTCAAGGGCAAAGTAAGTATACTAACACTATGTGTTCATTTATGAGAGCTGTAAATTCAAGTTAGCTGAGGAAAAGTGGTCCAATGTACTGAAAAAAAAAAAGTATTTTACTAATATATAGAAGACAAAAATATCATAGGAATTAGTTAATGAAATACGACATAGTAAGAACAAAGAGATACTTAACATGCTTTTGAGTGGTGTCCAGAAAAAAAGAGAAAGGTCTTATTGTAGTCAAGAAATAATGGGTTATTCCAGAATCTAAACTATGTTACTCAGTGCACACAAAAAAATAAACTTTTTAAATGATGATACAAACATACAAAGCAAAATTGTCAGGTCTACCTCTGTGAAAACTTTCTTCTATAGAAGACTAATGCTCCTTTACTTAAGACAAATGGTCAGTAGTGACAATGACTTTCTCCATGGGGAGACAAAGGAATTAGTATTTCATGGATCCATGAAAAGGTATATGATTAAGGTTATTCATTTTCTAAAACTGGACTACCTCCATATAAAGTGAAAATAGAATAATAGGACAGAAACAAATGTTTCCAATTCAATAAAGAATAACGTGATGTTTGCTTAAGATTATATTGTCCCTCTATATAAATCATTATATAAATCTCCATGAACACAAATGTTACAAAATGAGATGCTAGTTTTCAAAATTACTAGTGAAACCTGGAACAGTTTACACAGTAACATGAAAACATTAAATTTTTAAAAATCTGGGTAATTAAGATAATTTTCCAAATTGGTGTAATCCCAAGAAGACCAGACACCTCTTTTCCTTCACATGCACTTGGGAACTTGGAAACTACAAATAAATTTGCTGGCATCTCAACAACTGTTTGTGATATTTTTATCATTGTTGTTTTTCTTTTAAAAATGTAATGAAAACGGATCAAAGCACCATTCGTCATTATGCTGATTGGGTTATGCAGATAAGATGCAAAGGAAGAACTCTAAATCACACTGATGAAAGATAATGCAGAGGAATTCTATGGGGCCTCCATGGCAATCATTACTGAGCTCTTTCTGCTTCTAACTTTGGTGAATTCAGCCTCACTTTCCCTCCCTCCGACTCACCTTTTGCTGGTGAAGTTCTGGCCTCCTTCTCTTTATTCGGTTCTGTATGGAAAGTACAAACACATTTTTAAAAGTATCTTAAAGAAAGCATTTTATTGTGTGATGAGCAACAGGGTGGAGGTGGGGAGAGAGGAAATTAATAACAGAACTGAGCACAAATGATGCTATATGCTCCTTTATTATGCTATACGTGAATTACAAATTGGGGAATTATAATGTAGAGTCACGTTAAACTTAATAAAAGTAGTTAACAAATCTGATCATTTTGGGGAAAAGTATACATGGAAACACATAACAGATTTTGTTAAAAAAGCTTAGCTATGCTGGGAACATATTATAACATGCTGGTATGGAAATAGCATAAAATATAGATCACTTCATTTTAGATCCCAACAAGGGACAACTTCTTTTTTTTTTTTTTAAACTCATTCTTTTTTTCCCATTTATTTATTTATTTATTTTTGGCTGCGTTGGGTCTTCATTGCTGCACATGGGCTTTTCTCTAGTTGTGGTGAGCGGGGGCTACTTTTCTTTGGGTGCACGGGCTTCTCATTGCGGTGGCTTCTCTTGTTGCGGTGTGTGGGCTCTAGGCACGCGGGCTTCAGTAGTTGTGGCTCGCCAGCTCTAGAGCGCAGTCTCAGCAGTTGTGGCGCACGGGCTTAGATGCTCCGCGGCATGTGGGATCTTCCCGGACTGGGGCTCGAACCCGTGTCCCCTGCATTGGCAGGCAGATTCTTAACCACTGCGCCACCAGGGAAGTCTGGGCTTGCCATTCTTCTAATCCTGTTCTCTTCCTTAGGTGTTGGTGGATATAAAAGCAGGCTTTACCTGTCGTGTTGCTGGGCACCACCTCTACCTGCCAAGGAGTTCACTGGAACTCTTTATTGCTTGCTTTTTTGTTGCCCCCTGCTGGACAACAGGGCACAAGGACTGGAGAAGTTGTCACTGATATTGAGCTTTGGAGGCCACCAAACCTTCCTGGAAACTCCCCTAGGAGTTTCTGGAGGTGCTTGATGGTGACATAGCTCAAGTAAGGAAAGGGCCGCTCATCTTCCAGGACTGAGGTAGGATCACCCCACTCTCACAAGAAAGATGTGGGCTTTGTTTGCCTTTAGTTATGTGTGAAAAATCACTGTGAATCCTTCAGCCCCTTGGAGACTCAGCCTCCACAATGCTAAAGCATGGGCGTAACAACAACTTTGGCATAACTTCAAAGGTTTTATAAGTATATGACGTGCCATCCAAGTCAGATTAACATAAGAAAGTTATATAAACACAAGGTATGGTTATTATTACAAACCTATAAAAACTGTGGTCATCCAACTTCTCCATGGGGGTTGGGTTAAAGTTCACAGCCTCAATGGAGGCCAACTCATGCTGGGATGGATGTTCTGTATTTGCGGCCCAAACATATAAGGCCGTTTCTACTCACCTTCCCGCGGTGGAGCTGGTGCTGGGGCCAGCACTTCATTTTCTGGAATGTGGCGCACGGGCTTAGATGCTCCGCGGCATGTGGGATCTTCCCGGACTGGGGCTCGAACCCGTGTCCCCTGCATTGGCAGGCAGATTCTTAACCACTGCGCCACCAGGGAAGTCTGGGCTTGCCATTCTTCTAATCCTGTTCTCTTCCTTAGGTGTTGGTGGATATAAAAGCAGGCTTTACCTGTCGTGTTGCTGGGCACCACCTCTACCTGCCAAGGAGTTCACTGGAACTCTTTATTGCTTGCTTTTTTGTTGCCCCCTGCTGGACAACAGGGCACAAGGACTGGAGAAGTTGTCACTGATATTGAGCTTTGGAGGCCACCAAACCTTCCTGGAAACTCCCCTAGGAGTTTCTGGAGGTGCTTGATGGTGACATAGCTCAAGTAAGGAAAGGGCCGCTCATCTTCCAGGACTGAGGTAGGATCACCCCACTCTCACAAGAAAGATGTGGGCTTTGTTTGCCTTTAGTTATGTGTGAAAAATCACTGTGAATCCTTCAGCCCCTTGGAGACTCAGCCTCCACAATGCTAAAGCATGGGCGTAACAACAACTTTGGCATAACTTCAAAGGTTTTATAAGTATATGACGTGCCATCCAAGTCAGATTAACATAAGAAAGTTATATAAACACAAGGTATGGTTATTATTACAAACCTATAAAAACTGTGGTCATCCAACTTCTCCATGGGGGTTGGGTTAAAGTTCACAGCCTCAATGGAGGCCAACTCATGCTGGGATGGATGTTCTGTATTTGCGGCCCAAACATATAAGGCCGTTTCTACTCACCTTCCCGCGGTGGAGCTGGTGCTGGGGCCAGCACTTCATTTTCTGGAAATGAAAAGAGTAATGGAAGTGTTAGTCTCATTTATCCTGAGAAAAGATATTTTCCACAGCCCCAGGCTCTGCTCATTTCCAGGCAGCCATCTTCTCTGGACTGACGAGAAGAAAAGCCTCAACTCAAGACACACTGCCTTTTGGTGTATGGTGTGAGGTGAGGATCTAAATGTGGTTTGAAGATATGTGGACTTCCAGGAGGGGCAGAGTTTAGTGACAGACAGAGCGCAGGTAAAATGGGCATGCAGACATCCTTCCACTTAGTTATCCCCTCAGGCAGCAGGCAGGGCATTTAATGGCATTGAGCCTATTTCCCTTCTCTGGAAAAATGGACACAACACCTATCTCATATGCATAGGGCTGCTGTGAGGACGAGATGAGACACAGTGAGTACCAAGCACGTCCCTTAGAGCCTAAGGTGCTCTGTAAATGAGACCTCACTTTCCCCAGAGTGCAAGGACAGTGCAGCATCTCTGACACCATCCTGCCCTCATGAGACATACTTTCTGAATGATGATGAGACCAAAGTCCTCTGGCTTTGCAGCATTTCCTTTTATTACAAGGCAAATCACTGTTCAGAACCACTATGCTGTTCTGTGAAACAGAATCAACCCCCTTCACAGTCACAGTCACTTCTGGAAGTTTGTATGCCTGGAGCAGATTTTCGCCTACACTTATGCAAAGGTTTCAGAGCTCTGGTTTTGAGGTTTTATCCTAGGCTTTGGATATCCAGGATTATAGAGCAGTCTGGTGTTAAAGTCTGTTAAAGAAACTTCTTTTAAAGAATATACTATGTCCAAGTAGCTAAAGGCATATCCTATGACCAACGGGCATAGAATTTCCCCTGCTGAATCCCCATGGATGCCCAGAACAGAGAATTAGTGATGGGTATGTGAGCCAGCTACTACTACTCCAGGGCAGGAAGAGGCAGTTATTGAAGGTGATCTTTTCTTTTTTTTTTTTTTTTTTTTTTTTTTTTTTTTTGTTGGT